CACGAAGCTGATGGTTTACAAATCCATGGTGCTGCCCGTTCTTCTATACAGCAGTGAAACGTGGACGATGTGTCGACGGGATGTGCGATACCTCGAGCGGTTCCATCAACAGTGCGTGTGACGAATTCCGCGCATCACTTGGTGCGACAGAGTTGCGGACACGTAAGCGTTACGCCGAAGTGGAATGTATACAGTGGACTGCATGCTTTTGCTTCAACACCTGAGGTGGTTCGGTCTTGTGAGCCGTATGCATTCGACGCGAATACCGAAGCAGACATTATATGGTCAGCTGTGTTAGGTAGCGACATGTGGAGAAACCGAAGCTTCGTTACCAGGACAAAATCAAAGTGAGCCTGTCATGTTCTCATCTTATATTACAAGTCATAAGAATGGAAACTGGTTGATCGCCGTGCAGGACGTCATATGATCACGAAGGCAGTTGCCGAGGTGCAGGAGAAAGACCACATGCATGCAGAGAAGAAGCGGCGAGTGCGGAAGCACTTACCGCCGATGGGCTGTGCTCCATCGACATTGAGCGCATGGTGCTATAACACATAAGGACGCGAGCGACTAAGTAGGGCAGGTATAGAGAGCCTTGAACGAGGCCACTCGACGCCAAAACCGAAACGACGAGGGGTCCTGCTGAGGACGTTGGCAGAACCGGCGCAGCGTTTGTAGGTATGTTGCAGTTGAAAAAACTAACGGCTTGCTTGCATGATGGGTGCTTAATTTCATGAATGTGTTTGCCATGTGGTTCTAATTAATTTTTATCTTATTAATGTCCACCAGGTGGACCAGTAGGGCTCAAAAAATGGAGGAGGCAGGTGCAGTAGGCAATTACCGCAAGCTCTTCCAGATGATCCGCACTACTGGTCCCAGAAAACCAGGCGTCAGTGACACAGTCAGAGACAGTGCGGGTGCGCTAATACACAATAAGGAGCGGTGTATGGCTCGTTAGGCGGAACAGTTTCAAGATCAGCACAGTTGGCCCACTGCTCCCGGACCTCTTCCTACTCAGGTGATGCAGGACGAGCCGTGGAAGATCAGCTTAGAGCCTCCGTCGGAGGCCGAGGTCCGAAACGCGATTACAACCCTCAGTCGTTTTCGTGCTGCTGGTTCGGAATCCCTCCTACCCGCACCATTTAAGGATGGAGGTGAGGTCCTCTGCAAAGCACTGACCTCCCTATTTGAACGTATCTGGAAGAAAGAGTGTCCCGGTTAACTGGAATGAATCGGTTATAGTGGCAATATACAAGAAGGGCAGTCGCACAGACTGTTCTAACCACAGGGGTATTAGCCTAACGCCAGTTGTGCCAAGATTACTTTCGTCGACTCTCGTTCGACGCCTCACTGCGGAACGGGAATCTCGGATTAGGGAAGAGCAGGCCGGTTTCCACCCAGGACGTGGCTGTATAGACCATATCTTCACTTTGCGGCATGTGCTAGAGCAGCGCCACGCATACCGCAGATCGACAATAGCTGTGTTCCTTGATTTCAAGAGTGGGTTCGATTCAGTCAGTCGATCGATTCTGTTCGAAATACTTGCGCGGAAATGTGTTCCCACGAGATATGTGAACAGCCTTCGTGGTCTATACTAGAACACTACAGGCCGTGTCATAGTCTACGGTGGCCTACCGGTTTACTTTCCGACCACAAGTGGCGTTCGTCATGTTTGTCCGATTTCCCCATTTTGTTCAATTTCGTCGTGGATTATATCATGGTGTGTTCCCTTGGGGAATCTCACGATGTAGGTGTTGAAGTGCTGCCTGGTGAAAGGTTAGTTGATCATGATTATACGGACGATATCGTCTTGCTTTTCGACCAGGTTGCGGCGGCACAATCAACCCTGAATAGCCTCTCTAGTGTCGTCCCATTATTTGGTATGCACTTCGCGCCTTCAAAGTGCAAAATGTTGCTGCAGGACCACCAGCCACTTGATGACCCTTTGACCCTTGCTAAGGACGAACTCGAGATGGTTGATCAATTCACATATCTTGACAGCTACATCAGCAACGATGGGTGCATAGAAACTGACGTCAGCTCACGCACTGCAAGGGTCAGAGCTGTCTTCTTGGACCTGCGGCATCTTTGGCGACAGAAGAGAATTTCCCTCCGTCTGAAATGCTGTGTTTACATGGCCATAATGAGAGTCGTTCTGCTCTATGGTAGTGAGACTTGGCCCCTTCGGTCTGAAGATCTGAGGCGCCTTCAAGTCTTTGATCATCGTTGTCTGCGAAGCATTGCTGGTGTCGGATGGCCCCAGCGTGTCCGTAACGATGATGTGCGTAGGCGAGTACTAGGTGGTGCTAATCATGCTAGCTCCCTAGAACAACAGATAGCACTGGATAAGTTGCGTTGGTTTGGGCACGTGCTACGTATGCCTGATCACTGCTTACCTAGGAGGGCCTTGTTTAGTCTACCAGATCTAGGGTGGCACAAAGCTCGAGGTGGACAGAAGTTTAGTTGGCAGCGTGAAATGAAGTCACTGTCGACCAAACTGGGTGCAGTTGGCCCGCCTCGCCTTCCAGGCTGGAGTCCGCGTGACTCGCCATGGGTTTGGCTCGAAACTTTAAAGGATACGGATAGCAGCCGACACCAGTGGTGCGTCTGCTGCCGTCTCCTAATCGGATTGCCTGTTTAAAGTGTGTTTGGTGATAAGTTATCTGCAGGGTAATAGTTGATTATGACGCGGGGCAGTGGCAGCCGCAAGGAATCTTTCTCGCCGATGCCTCCTTATCTTTGCACGATAGTCAGCTGTTTGTGGTGGTATATTGTCTACACAAGGTGTAGGCGCCTTGACGCTGAATGTTTGCGTAAGGCATTAAGGTTTTCAGGTAAGTCCCCCTTCTCTCCCCTTCTCATTCTTTATTTCATGGGTCATCATGATTGTATGGCAGCGAAGCGTCAGTTCAAATGGCAGATGTACTACTGTTGTTGATGATGATGATTTGAACTACCTTCTATAAACTTGATCAGGGCGCTTAAGCTGATTGTTGTTAACTTTGATAATATTTTCGCGTTTGTGGCATTTTCTTAAAATCTATTTTCTGACTTCTTAAACTTTTCGCGGATTTGTTTGCAACCAACATATATTATGCGCTCTTTTAGTGAAGTTATGCTAACATATCTGTTTGGATTATACTATTTCTTTTATTTGATATTGTTGTTTCAAATGATTGGCTGTTGTTTGATATCCCCGGTGTGGTTGAGCTTGATGTGCGTGTTGACAATGTGGCTACCCGTCTATTACCCACTACCTTGTCCATACTGGTTCCAGGAGACAGTTGGTCGTTGCTGGAGGAGACGGGGTGCACGGTCCTTGTGACTGTGCTAGGCTCCAAGAGTGGTTCCATGCACTCAGTGTGGAGCGGACTACGGTCCAGCCACCGCCTTGTGTGTGCGCTTGATTCCCCAAATACAGCGTGCTTGTGTTTGCCTGTGATGAAACGTGGCTCCCATCCGCATGCCTACCAGTCTAATTTCTTTGGGTTTACATTGGATATGGGGTGTGCGGATGGAGCTGTGTGTGGTGTAGCGCAAGCCACCCATTGTCCCTCTGTAGGCGCAAGCGTCTTGTGGCTGGTCACAGTGACAGGAAAAATCCGAAACCGGGTGCCGCCAACCATTTATTTACAAGTTATTTTGTTTATATCTCAGTTGAGGTGAAACAATGTCTAAATGACCCTCTGGCACATCTGTGGTTGTGCGGCGTTGAGTAGAACTAGGGTTTACTGTTTGTCTTTCTACCCTTTCACGTTCCGTGCGGCAAAGATTATTTTGCACCATCTGTTAAGCAGTACACACCAAACGATTCGATGAACGGCTCCTTTTTTTCCGCAATGATGCAATTTTCTTCGTGTGAACTGGGGCCGGAACTCACTTGGTGTACCTGGGAGCTGCAGATGGACAACGTGGGAACGTGTGTCAGGCTAGTATGAGCTGCCGTTTTACATTCGAATGAGCAAGTTAACATAGAAGTTTCCGCATCACACGCAGACGATCACAAGGCGCCCGCTTTCTGATGCCGACTACATAGTATGAAAGGATGTCAAGCAGAAAAGACCGATATTCTATCGAGCTCTGTTGCTCGGACAGGTCGTACATCTTTCAATGTGTTGGACGATGACGGCTTAACATGAGCACGGTACGGGGATCATGCACTGCATATGGTGCAATATTGCGCACATCTAAATGATTAGGGTAATCGAGCTGGCTACGTTCCGCGCAGCGCATTCTCAGGCTAATCCTACAATCTGTAGGGGGCAGTTCACGCCAGCCAATCTATTCCAATTGCACGAAAGTTCACAAGAAAAACCCGATTGTTCAATCGTTCTTTCAGCACTTTATAGACTCCCGGACAAGGAAGGTCTCAACATTGTTTTTAAACTAAATAAGCACTAGATCGAAACTTGAATAAAGGCTACGAAATGAGTAAATTTACTTTCAAACAACCAAGCATAAAACTGTCTTGATGGAGATGGAGGCGATGCTTGATCTCGCTGTTACTTAATTAATGGTGGTGGTAATGGTTCCGTATTCTATTTGGCTGAGTAGTTCCATCCGTTGGGTTTTCCTTGCACGCAGCCGCACATTCTCGATTGGCAAAGGAAACCTACTCAACAAGACTGGCATATGCAGTTTCGCTAGCCAATAACACTTAAGCAGTACTATGTGTTTACGGTGAAATAAATGAACTCCAATTTAAGTACCGAGCAGCTTGGTATCAGCAGTACGCCGGTAGTCAGTACCAACGCTTCACTGCCGCGAAACCACCATCAGTCGCATGTGGACTAAGGATACTGCGAGGATCGCCCTGCCCCTACGCAGACTCGAACACGCGCCGTCAGATTACAAGACAAGCTCGTTCCCTTTAGGCTACGGCTCGGCAACTTTAGGAACTCCAAAATAAAAACGGGTCTGGCCCAGGCGAAAATTAGAACTAGAGGGAATAGTTTATGCTGAGTAAGCGAGAATAGCAAATAAATTGCAACGCGGCTAACCTCGGAGTCTGAGAGGAGACGTGGGTTGTTCATACGGTTCGTCTTCCTTTCGATCACGACAGACGTGCACATGAGCGTCAAGCGTGTTCAAGACAATTCGGATGAGATATTCAATAAGGCCACGAGTTCCTCCAGACGGTAAGTTAGTGAGCGCAGCTGTTCCAGCCATGTAGTGTCCACTTCTTGGTGGAGAAGCAGATCCTCCACTAAGAGTGGGGACATTCGTCGTTGCATCCCCATGCCCACTGGAGAGGTTGATCCCGAGTACCGCGTGTCCTCCATCGCAAACTGATCGACTAGCCTGCCCTTGATCTAGCAGGTTTGCTTCAGAACTTGTTTTCCTCAATCTAGGCGGTCCACTGGTGCAATCAGTTGTTGATGCACCGCCTGTTAAACCGGTGTGATTCAGTGAGGTGGTAAGGTGAGAAGTCCCCATTCCCGCGGTTCCTGTAAACCCCCCAGTAGCAGCTCCGCCAAAATCACTGTATTCATACTAAACAAAGAGGGTAAGTATTAGAATATCACCTCAAACGCTGTATTGGACTAACCAATCTATGCCATCACAGCCCTCTCGCAGACGACTAATTCACAACAGATTCATGCTAATTCACAATTACTTATGAAGAAAATGTCTTCAGGTAGCGAGTAAAAAGCGCTATCATTGGAGTAACTCAGTTACCTTGTACAAAATCACAGCCAATGTTCGTAACCAATACATTCGCAGCTGGGGCTCCAGTAGTCTCAGTGTGAAGGTAGGTGGTTGCGTATCAGTAGCGTATCGTTGGGGTGACGCACAAAATTGTAGCACAGCCAAAGTTTGATGTAAGATGTTTGAACCCATGCTGAAGTTGCGATCCAAAACTCCACTCACATGGGCAAGAAAAGAGTGAAAAGCGGTTGAAGCTCTGAAGAGGAGAAGAATTCACAGGGAAAATCCATTTTTATATAAAGCCAGGGGCACATTTCACTGTGCATTGGGACTATCGGCGTTTCCAGGTATCACGACTACAGCAGCTATCATCCACCTTTGACACCTGGAAGATACTAAGCGGTGTGCTGATAGCAAAAACCACAGTACCGATATTCTACAAGTGTCTTGATGCACTGGACCATTTGCATTACGTGAGATGGCTTTTTAAAACAACGTCAACACAACACAAACGTGTTCTCACCTTTGTCAACGAGTTAGTTTATCCGGGTGTCCATGCACATGTGAAGGTAGATTTTTACTCCCTTTCTTAGATTTACCCTACTCCAGCCAATGAAGCTAACATCGACAGGTTTTACAACGTAAATGAGTCAATGTATTCTGCGCTTAGTTTTAACATTAGTTTGTTGACAAAAACACATACCCGATCGGTTTCACGTGTTATACTCGCCTATCCTATTGGCCGCCATCTCACGGCTTGTGCAGCGTCGTGGGACGGAGGATTCAGGTGACGGACTCACCTCATCTTGTGTGGTGGGATGCTGAATGCTCCATCCACATAACCCAGCAAAAAGGCAATGTGTTGTTCAGCTCTGTATAGCGCCCGTCTATCGCGCATTTCTTCCTTAGAAGTGGCATTTGCTTGGTGTCTGCCTCCGCCAGTTCCTTCAGTACCACTGACAGCCTCGGTAAAGCCAGACCCGGCGCTGCTCGCTCCCACATCGCTCGCAGCGGTACCAACGCCGATACAATCGTCCAGACGATGATCGTACGGAACAGTGGCCATGAATTCAAGCAGAAGTCGAACCCACTGATGTAATGTATCTCGTTCACTTCCATTCTGCTCCAAGGCGGACCGGATGTTAGACAGAACTTTACTGCTGGTATCCATGAACTCAACGCCAGAGTGCATATCTATATTGGTACGGAATGGTATGCATATGTCAAGGTTATTTACAGATCACGCACACACACCAGCGTAGAGAGCAATATTGACATACTTGGGAAGAATCCGACTAGCGGTGAGATGGACATCCGGGACCTGCGGTAAGTGTGAGATCTGAGATTGTCCAGCACCTTGACAGACTGTTGTCCTTGCAAACCTACAATGTGCAGAGGTGGAGGTGGGACGCTGCTGAGATAGACGGTGTTACTGAGGTATGTGTAGAGCTTAGTCGGGCACTTATGATGAACGAGTATACACATACCTCCTAGGGATTCTTGGTGACTGCAAGTCATAGAATCATAAATCGCGAAGTCCGATTCTGTGAACTCATCCTACGGATTAAGTTTATCATACCGCACATCATTTTGTACTATATACAGTTATTCGAATGCTTGTAGGGTCTTTAACTTATTCTGCTATTTTTAGCTCTTCTTATATACTAGGGAAATGCCAGACATAATCAGCTGACCCTTAACGCACACCGTTCAAACTATTGACAGCCAAGCAATCCATACACACCTTTGTTTGAACTTGGGCTAACGACAACCAGCCGGTGTCATTGTAGTGTTCCTTCGCAGCCTTACTTTTCTCTTCCGTTATGGAACTGTGGAAGCGAGAAAATATATCATTGGGCATACCGATACAGGTTTCTTCGCGACATCCTATAAGATCGACGAAACTTGGTCATGAATCCGGTACCAAAACTGCCTCTCCATATACTGAAATGTATAGCAAAACACAACCGCAAAGTTGTGTGTAATTACGTCCCTGACACATACAACGTAGCACGCGAAACGAACAGCCGGTGTAAGCCCTACCCCTGCCCCCACCATCCATCAACGGCTTAAATGTTTTAAGGCAAAAGCTTCGTAGAAAATTGCAGTGCCGGTAAGTGGCACCTGTGACTTAAGTGTAACAGCTTTAATAAAACTCCGTGAATGTTAGCGTAAACGAAAAATCCAGCAAATAAATAAAGAAGTATACCGACCAACAGCATTGGAATGTCATTTGCTGTTTGAGATAGATTACATCGAATAGAATAAAGTCGAAGCTAAGGAAATCTGATTTGGCAGTGACATAAACGGTGAGACCAACCTGTAGAAATGTCTTGACTTTTGACCGCAGTTGTGGGCTCATGCACGAAGGTTGGCAGTTCCGAGTGTGCGTGTCGGACTGCATTCGGATGAGACAGCTGAGCTGGGGGTTCCGCAATGTTTGCGACCATCTTGAAACGAGAATTACCAAATCCATTGGGCTTGCTAATGGCCCTCAGTGCGGAGCTTGCTGACAGCGCGAAACAAGCCCTGTCAAACTGTGTCTGAAAGTGTTGACTGTTTCGATGATAGCCATTGATATCCATAACTGCGGAAGAAATGATCGTTGATAGATATTTAGAATGTTAGGCACTTTACCAGAAAATGAGCTGGCTGGAGAAAAATTGCCAATCTTGTTGGCGGGGTCATGGAGACCCAAAATTAGGCGGTGTGAGTTCGCAGAAGGGCTATACGAGAAATAACCACTATGAAACATCAGTATGCACCTAGATTCGGTAGTGCCTAAAAGACAAAAAGAGCGCTTTCTAATCTCAACGCGATAACTGTTTCTTATTAGTGAAAGCGCAAACAGACTATCCAGTAGATGGTGACATTTTTGTGAGCACTGTGTCTTAACGTGCTCACATCAAACAGACGGTATTATAAGAGACTAATACAGGGATTTGAATGGTATATGTTCACTACATCTACACTCAGTGAGACGGCCAGCAATCACATGCCCGCAAAAGCACTGTACCCCCGCTTCATCCTTTAAAGAATCGTAAGCAGTGCGCATTCAATCTATCCTCGTGAAGGTAGCACACGAAACCCGACTCTGGTACCAGTGTGTGATTAAAACCACTGGGCTACCGGGGACGGTTACGATTAGCATGACTAAGTTACCAGATGTGATATAGCGCTACTCACATTACTGCTGTGCAGCGGACAAAGCACACGGCGAACTTACGAAACTTAAATCGCCAAGTAGTTTTGGCGTTATAAACGATGTTACATCTTACCTAGTAACTCAGTCACGTTGGTCGTAACCTACACCGTTTCCCAGTGATCTTAACCACGGACTGGTACAAGTCGGGTTCCTGGTTCTAGTCCCACAGGTGTCACCATTCCTGAAAGTGTGAAACGGCCGTGCTGTGTTTTTCCGGGTATACTTTGACTGAGTGTAGATTTGATAAACTTCCATCTACACTGTGTCTTTATTACCCAACTATTGTGCTGTAATATTTACCTTTTTGGTGTATCTGCTTGGTATCGGCAAGTTATCAAGATCCCATCAATACCTGCTTGCCTTGTCTGTGTAAAAGTGTCCAAACAAAGTTGTCCAACTCGTTCTAGGTCAGTAAAACTTATCTTGCAACCGGGTTGCAAGAGGAGGCAGTGACGGATTGTTTGACAGCGTAAGTCGTGGTAAACGGGACACTGGATTGTGGCGAATAAGAAAACCGATAGCTAACATTCCTTTTGAAATGCCAAGGGATGGAGCTGCGTAATCCATTTGCAAATAACACTACTTTTATACGGGTTAAGAGCACCGCTTTACAAAGCTCGATGGGTAGTCTGGTGGGGTTATCGAATAAATTATAAAGCAGTCAAGGTATTTAATGTCAAAGAAAGTGGTTATCGTTTATAATGAGTTAGCCCTGCACTCTGCTTAATTGGAGAATCCATTATGTTGCAAGTGATAAATCCAAGCCAATTGCCAGGAGTAGAAAAAAAGTTATTATTTTTATTATATACACGTCAGCTAGAGGTGGGAAACACCTCAGCTACTGTGCCGCAATACATAAATGAAAAGGAAAAATAAATACAAAAGTTGCATGCCAGCTGAGCTACCAGCATAGGATAGGCATCGTTCCGGTAAGCTACCAGCCGGCTACTAGGCAAAAAAAAAAATTATTGTTTTATGCTAAGAAGTGAGATGGTAGGTGGAGGGGAGGCTAAAAGGGATGGGGAGGGACAAAGAAACTCACAGCAGGAATGCCACTGAGGTCGGCTCCTTGCCGTATCAGCAAGTGTATCCAGCCAAAGGTGTTCATCGTCTTTTGGACCCCAACCAGGGAGCCGTGACGCTCCAACCGAGCCCAGCGCCGAAGTGAGGGACTTCGTTCCTTTGAATCAGGTCATCTCTTGGCCACTTCTTCTCTTCTTCCATCCACATCCCAGGTGAGCAAACAACGCACGCCGTGGAAGTCGATGGGCTGGCATGCGCAACACATGGCCCAGCCATCGGAGCCTGGTGCGGGAAATTACGGTGCTGAGCGGTTCAGATCCATTTCCTGTACCGTTAACAAGGCGTCGAACACGCTCGTTACTCACGCAGTGTTCCCACCAGATGTGAGCCAAACTGCGAAGGCATCGATGGTCGAACGTAACTAGACTCTTCATGTCTGCCGATCTTAGGGGCCAGGTTTCGCAACCGTACAGTAGGGTCGAACGTACCGCTGCATTGCACACTCTACCCTTCAGGGCAAAAGTAATGTCGCGCCGCCACCATAGGTGGCGAAGGTTAGCAAAAGCACTTCGAGCTTTTGCTATACGGTTCGTAATTTCATCTTCAATCCCAAGGGCGCTGATATAACTTCAGAGGTAGTTGAATTTCTGAACGACTTCTAGCTGATCACCACCAAGGGTCAGCGCAGGAGGCGATCCCAGCCAATCTTTGAGGAACGCTTTGCATTTCCATGGTGCAAAGCAAAGGCCGAAGCGGCTGACAGCCAGTGCTAATCTGCCCAGCAAGACTTCGCACGTCTGGGAGCTGTCACAGATGAGGGCAATGTCGTCTGCATACTCCAAGTCAAGAAGTCGTTCTCCTGGGAGTAGTTCCACACCTTCCAAGTCATGTCCTGTAAATGCAATCTCCATGACTTCGTCAATAGCGAAGTTGAAAAGGAAAGGTGACAACGGGCATCCTTGTCTCACACCGCTGGTGATATTGAAGGGTGGCGACAGCTTGCTGTAAGCCCTCACTCTGTCCGTGCTACGCGCATATAATGCTCGGATAATATTGACATATTTCTCGGGCACACGTTTCCTGAGTAGACAATTCCAAAGGGCACATCGATCAACCGAATGGAAGGCACCTTTGATGTCGAGGAACACGACCACGGTGGGCCGCCAATATGTGTGACGATGCTCCAATAACTGACGCAAACTGAAGATGTGGTCGGTGCAGCCACGACCCCGACGAAACCCGGCTTGCTCCTCACGAATCTGGCTTTCACGAGCGCCAGTCAGTCTGTGGAGAATTATGGACGCGAGTAATTTGGAGGCGATGGAGATCAGACTGATTCCTCTATGGTTGCCGCATTCCGAGCGCGAGCCGCCTTTGAAGATGAGAACAATAACGGAGCGGCTCCAGTCGGTTGGGACAGTCTCCTGCTTCCAGTTTCACAAATAGCTGATGTAAAGCATCAACAAGAGCAGAGCCTTCGAAGTTGAAGAGGGCTGGAGGAAGATCCTCTGGTCCCGCGGCTTTGTTCAACTTCAACAATCCGATCTCACGTTCGATTTCTGAGCGAGAGGGTGGATCCAAAGGGACAGCCCACGGAGCAGGGCGATCACTGGCCGGCGAAGAATCGAACAATTCTTGCCGATTAAATTGCTTTTCAAAATGCTCAGCCCAACGCTTCAAGCGTTTTGACAAATTGTGGATAGGATGTCCACTCTCGTCACAAATTGTTTCACTAACACCAGGTCTCCTGTTGCCCGTTTCCCGTATAAGACGGAATAACTTACGATGGTTGCCAAGTGTAGCGGCCACTTCCATCTCTGACGCACGGTGAGACCACCAAAATTCGCGGTCTCTCTTCAGGATAGCACGAAGTCTTGCCCGGACCTCTTTGTGAGTTTCATTGTGTTCGCTTCCAGCCGGGATATACCATCGAGCATCGATAAGTTCTAGAGACTGCGAAAAGACCCAATATCCATGTTGGCTATTAGACATACCACATGAGGATTTGCCTGCTGCTAGTAAGGTCTGGGGAACATGTGACCAGTGACCTTCAATTGTCTCCAGTGAGCGATTACTCAACTCGCATGTCAGCGTACTTCGATAGGCATTCAGAACAGCTGGCTTTGTCAGTTAGCTGGTCTCAATGCGCCCACAGCGTCGTCGTGGGCGTCCGCCAAAACGCATCCGCATGTCAGCACATACAAGTGCATGATTGGTGTCCACACGTGTGCTCCAAATCGAGCGACAGTTCTGGATGCAGCCTCTCCATCGGTAACTTATCGCATTGTGATCGATCTGCATCCAAGACTGGTGGGTTCAAGTCACCCTCCGGCGGGTGCTGTGTCGGAAATTAGTGCTCGCAAGAAATAAGCCGGCATCTTCACACAAATGAAGTAACCGCTCACCGTTATCATTACGAGAGCTTACACTGTGCTGACCGCCCAAATGCATTTCATCAGTGGACAACTTTCCAACTTGCGCGTTCAGATCCCCAGCCAGCACAACAGTGTCCGTGTTTCTTCTGTGGCGAAGGAGCTGGGTCAGTTGGCAGTAAAAGTCGTTCTTTGCCGGATCATCGTTACAGTTTGTGGGTGCGTAGGCAGCAATGATGAATAGACACCTATTAGTCCCGCGCGACTTCGAAGCTTTGAACGAGCCAGCCAATCGGACCGCACACATCCGGCTGCTGATTGGAATGCAATCAACCAGAGCAGTTTCAGCCCGGGGACTCAGGGCAATACCAACACCAGCTTGGCCGGTGCTCGAAGCTGCATCGTCACCAGATAGGCGCAATCAGAAAACACTGCTTGCGTCACCTGGAGGGGATCGCAGAGTGAACACAAAGCTCGAGTCTTGCAGGCGGGTCTCCGATAAGCAGTAGATGTCGATCGAGAGGGTCTCCAATATTCGGGCAAGTGCTGCCTGTTGACCGGTCTGTAGTAATGTGCATACATTGAGGCATGCCAATCTGAAGGTGGATCGAGGGCTCCAAATGGAAGCAGATGAACGGGAATGGATCGCTTGGTTGGACATGGGCTTGTCGACAGGAGAGGAGTGACGCTCCGCGTTCAGATGTGAGTTGAAATTAGAAGATACATGCCTAGCAAAGCATGTTGGGGGAGGGCCAAGAATCGGGGGGTTGAAAACTGGGGGGATATAAGTGAAGTTGGAAGGGGACGGTAAGAGTGAAAACGCGTAAGATGGGGAATAAAAAGACGGGAAGGCTTGAGCAGTAGCATCAAAAACCCTATCCACCCTGCTCGAAGCAACGGATAGGGCACCGTTGATTATCCTCTGCAGTGGCCAGAGCATCAAGAAATTGCTTGAGGAAAGATTCATTGTATTGCGTGGGCAGGATA